ATTTATTGCGAGCACGTTTTTTCGTTTAAATTACCTTCATTTTCATACGCACTTTACCCAATAATTATAATATTGCAATTTCATTATTGTAACTACACTGTTACAGCTACATTTGAGCAGAGAGAAAAGGAATCGCAATGCGGATATTGGATTCTCGATATATTAATAGCGTTAATTATTAAATTGTACAAATTGCACGTCGAAAATTGACCAATTCAATATTACTACTATTGAACGGATTATCTTTGAAAAAAAATGATAAGCTATTTATTACTACTTTACAACATAAATAATAAATAATTTTGATACAAACTAATATTGCAAATTACTGACAGAACCAACAGGTAAATATCGAAAATGTTTGATGATCTAAATCTGTATATTTACAATTTGCAGGATATACAGACTCACGTAATTAAAAATGGCCTTAAATTTATGTTTCCAATGTTAATAGATTGCAATTAATAAATTGCATATTTAGTTATATTTTCACAATAATTCTTATTAAGAAATTAATTTAATCTTGATGTTAATTATCATTTAATCTTGATATTAATTATCTATATAAACTAAATTAGTTATATCTATAAAAAACTATTCTGGTTTATGAGTTGAAAAACATGACTTGAACACTTTTCACTCGTTCTCCTATTTGAAGATTCTTATTTTAAACTCACTTCTAATATGCTTTGTTTAATTATTAGTGAAGGAGATCAAATATCAGTGAAATATCGTGCAGATAATATGAAGATATTCACGTATGCTTATGAAAGTAAAATCAAACTTCTTTTACATACAGTGATTTTACAAATGAATTTGTTAAAATGGCGAACATAAAACTATCAATGAAAAATATCTGAATTAATCAAATTAATATCTCGTTTCTTGCAAATGGCTTCCAAAAATATCTTTTCAGGTTGATAGATATATACGCGAATATTTCATTAATGCGAAAATATGCGGAGCATTGAATGCCTCGGTTAAAATATAAAAAATTCTTGGTTAAAATATAAAAGAAGCGTGCGAAATGCACGTTTCCCAAAGAAATCCGCTATTATTTTTTTATTGCGAGCACAGAAAAATCCGCTTCGCTATTTAGTATAAAGGTACGAAATGGGAAAGAAGACCAATGAAATTACCCAACGATCGATTTAATGATATCACTGGGCTTTGTGAGATCTACTGCGACAGAAGATACAGTAGATCCTTTTATTAACGAAGCTTTGTCGCTGCTTTGCCGATTCTCCATTCAGCCATCTCTAATACCGACTTAATAATAGCCTACGATTCTGTATAGTGCATTGAACATTTCTCTCTCTCAATTTCATAGATTTCAAAAAATTCAAAAAATAATTCTAAATATCAAACACTTAATATAGATAGATAAAAAATTGCAATAAATAGTGCACGTATTGAAATTTCAAAATCAAATATCAAAATTTTATATCTGTATGTCTAATCTCGCTGTGAAAAAGTTTAAAAATAATTACAAATAATCAATATGAATATTTTTGCATATTTGTCGCTATTTCGTTCTCGTTTTCAAACATAAATCTACAGATAAATTTGATATTACAAAACTTTTTATAATTTTTTATTTTATATGAACTTTTATCAATTTTGTATGACTTATTTTATATGAAAATCCAAAATATATTTCTTTTTTTTATTAATAATTATAAATAATTTCTATGAATAATTCTATGAAATAGTTTTTGAATAATTTCTCTTTTTATTTTCATGTAAAATGTGATCCTTTTTTAAAATACTCCCCGAAATTGATTTTAAAAATGATTCGAAATGTTAAACGTTAAAAGATTTTTAATGATATTCAATGATGGCGTTTTAATAAAATATTTCTCGCGTGGGTTATTCCGTTCATTAGATCGTCGCGTTGTCGCGGGCGAGTAGGTTCGGAAAGGATGGTTTCCAGACGAGTGATCTTTTAGATATCGTGCCAGGTACCCAGAGGAAAATACAGAATTGACGTAAGAGAGAAACGAAAGAGAGAGAAAGAGAGAGAGAGAGAGAGAGAGCGAAAATGTCGTCTATTGTTTTCCCTAGGACAATGACATGTAAAACGGAGATGCAGGCGGCATCCGTTGCGTTTTAAGATCCTGATCATTAACCCTTTCGATATCACAAAAGTGTGAAACAATCATTTACGGCTGAATGCATCGAATTCGCGAATGTGTCTCTTACGAGGCACACTTGGACTTCGCGCTATAACATTATTATGTAATTGAAATGAATTAAATATCGACACGTTAGAATAAAAAAATGAATAAATAAAGAAGTGTGAGTCAATTCTTATTAGAAATCTGTGGCAATACTTCTTTTTAATACGATATATAAATATGCATAAGTATTTTTCAGTCGTAACAAGTACCGGTTAAGACGAATATATATTTTGTAATGAATATTTTCAGGTGACATATCTATACGTCTCGCGAATGCTTTTCAAACGACGTATATAAATGTCTCTCGTATAAAACGAAAGGGTTTTTTAAATTAGGCGGCATGCAGAAATCAAGATCTCGCAAACTTTCGCGCGCACGTTCACCCGATTCGCAAAAGAACGATAGCGATCCTGAAATAGTCCGACAATGTTTTGATCTCAATCAGATATCTTTCTGTTTCTTTTTGTTTTCGGATAAATTGTTGAAGAAATGCACTCTCTTTCTCAGCGCCAAGATAAAATCATATTTCCGCCTGTACTGAGAGTCGAACACGCGGCTGGCTACAAATACTTTAGGTCAGGGATACTGCGACATTTACTAAATATTTCAATTTATCGTCACGTAAATTAATATATTTATTAGTATGCTCAAGTAGATTTCCAAAAAATAATAACGTATGCTCATAAAAAACGCAATACAAAGTTGCCTGAATAGCATAAACGATATCTTTTCCTATTGTCCACTTTTCTCTTTCGATCTTTTTAAATAAAAAGCTATTGATGCAAAACGTTGTGTAATCGCTGTTGATAATCGCAGCCGTGAGAGATAAAAAGAGAGAGAGAGAGAGAGATATATATATGATATATTTTAATTTTTATGCAAACTAATCATATATAAAAGTTAAATTAGTTTTTTTAACATAAATTCAAGAAAATAAGCATCATTCTTACATACATATTAATAATCATCTTATGATACTATAAATTGTACATCTTAATGTGTGTGTATGTGTTTATGACATTCAAGATAATCAAGATCATAATTTACATTTTAAATCCAAACATATATAAACATTCATATTAAATAAAAAACAAACGAAAATTCCATAAACATACATATGTCTGTGAATAATTCAGTAAAAGATACTGTGTACATGTATGTGTGCGAAAAAGAGGTAAAAATAAAATTTGGAATTCTGCGGTTTCACAGCTGTTCGACGCTTTAACGCTTTGCAACAGTTTCTAAATTGATTGATATTGGGATAAAGAGGTGATCGACCCCCTTCCCCCCTCAAGCATTGCAGGCAGTAATTTTGTTGCGATGCATCGAGAGAGAGGCTGTCGGAATTTCCGTCGATCCTGAACGATGATTCAGAGGCAAAACATGATTTCGAAAATAAAAAATTATTAAAGTGAAACTGAAGAATTGTCTACTTTTATCCATAAAAATAATCAGACTAAAATAAACATCGTATTTATTATGTTCGATATATAAATTAGATATAGATTAAATGAACTGTAAATGCTTTCAAAAAGATAATAAATTAATAAAATAATAAATTAAAAAGGTAAGATAGATTAATAATTTAGCCCAATACACGGATATAAAGTTTTTTAATTTACAACACTTTCAGTGGCAGATTTTTGACTAATTTTTCGTATATTATTTTTTTACATGGTAGATTATTATGTTATTTACACGATAAATAATTAATATACTGTATAACAAATGGTAACACATTTAAAAGTTTCTGAATTTTTAAATAACTTTAAATTAATATTTTCTTAATCAAATTTTAAAACATAATTATTAACATAACTATTATAAAAAATATAATTATTATTAACTTTATAATATTTAATTACTACTTATTATTCTCTCTCTCTCTTTCTCTCTCTCTCTCTCTCTCTCTTTCTCTCTCTCGTTCTCATTATAATTTTGTAATTTAATTCTTTCAGTAATTTCTCGATGAATAATTCTCTCGTGATTTCTCAATGAATAATTTCGTTGGGAAAAGATATTGAGTTACGTTAATAGCACCAAAGTTGTGGAAATCAATATATTGTACTGCTGCAAATGGTAACCCACTATGATCGCGTAATTCATTCGATTATGTCGTCAATAAAGGGACTAATCAAGCTCGAGAAGACTTTATGAACATCCGGCAATCACTTCCTGAGTGGCTTAATTACTACCTTTTGTGTTTATCATAAGTTTAAATATATTCTGAAATAATTTTTCTCAAAATTATATCTTTCTTTTAATATAAATATAAAAAATAAATACAAAACACGTTCATCATATTAAGACAATTTATGACAGAGCCACAAAGAGAAACAAAGAGTTTTAGAAACAATTAGAAGCAATTTTCACGATATTATATATATAGAAAAATATCATATGGTGTTTATATTTGACGTTTATTACAATCTTTTAATTAAATCTTTTAATTAAGTCGCTTTATTAAGTAACTGATATTAATCCACAAATCTTGTAAAACAAAATATTCTTTTACGAGCATAGTGTCTAAAATTTCATGATATAAAAAAAACAAATAGATAATTCCAAATTATACTCGTTTTTTTCATAAATTCAGATTGGAAAGATACAAATACACAACTAAATTTTTTCTTAAAAAATTCTTCTATAGCGTTGTATTGGTCTTGCGATAAGAAATGCATCCCGATCAACTAGGCTAGCTCCTTTCATTTCCATGCACTCTCGAGAAAACGATTTCCCGTTACACCGTTTTCCTCTCAGATGCAGTCGTATATTACTTCAAAACGCACTCTAACGAAACCAATGGAAATTCGAATTTACCTCTCGGCGATATTGGCTGGTCTGCGAATCTCTACGTAATGACTGGACCAAGATCACAATTAATTAGTGCAGCTTCTTTCAACTTCTCCGAAGCACCTCGTTTCGAGGTTTCTCAATGGCCGACGACGATAGCCCGTTACCGTCAATTCTTTGCTAATAATGTCGCTAAATTGATTTCCTCAGACGCACTTTCCAAACGAATTTCAGGTCCACCTAGCCAGCAGTCTTCACCCGCGACATTTTTCGACGATGAGAGAATCATCGATGAATTTAAATCGTTCGTAAAATCGCTATCTTATGCGCAATACTATCGGCAGTCATCGTCGAATAAGTGGACACCGCCATTTTTCGCGAGCACCCACAGTGTAATTTTGCTCTCTTGGAGAATTATCGTAAAGTTTTAGAGTTCGATTTTACAGAATTTGGATGTATCTTTATGGAAATTCAACATGAATAAACACTCAATCTAATCCAGGCTGGTTACACAATCCGACAAGGTCGATCGCGGCGATCGATGTATGCATATCGATCGTTATCTTTTCCCGTGCGTTACTGTCACCGCAAATGTTGTGTAACGTGCTACGCGAAATACATTAACGCACTCGAGATAAACGACCGTCGTGTTTATTGCGTGCATACATTCAGTGAAATACGCAAGTCAAAAGCCTTCAGATTATCACTCACAAAGCTGCGATAAGCGATGTCGGAAAAATAAATAATAAAATACAATAGGGATCACGAACTGTCTCGAGAATGTGCGTATTATGACGACTTCTGATTGTTATTCATTGACTTTTAACAAAATCGCAGTCGTTTAACAGATAAGGATAGAATTCCCGTCAAATTATATCTCGCGCTGTCGATCTCGATCGCTGTCGAGCTTTTCAATTGCGCGTTTGGAGAATCGTCAGTAGTTCGAAATCAGATATTCGCAGACAAGCAGAAAGAAACGTTCGCACACGGTAGCTGTCAAATTACACGTGAATCGTACGCGCGTAGCACGTCAGATTGAAAATTGTTTTTTCGAAACATCATACTTTAAGTTTAACGATAGATCATTGAAAATCACGCTCACTGTCGATCATCATTAACACCGTTCTCACGTTATGATTAATGTCATTAACGCGTTAAAGAGACGCGTCGAGTAAACGCTGTCAAGCGATCGTTGGGAAAATTTACGTTCGCAACGATCGCGCTATTGCTCGCGATTCGAACATTTGTCTTCGTGGTGAACGGAAGACGATGACGGAGAACAACGGCGACGACATATCCGTTCGCAACGACGGCCGGCGTCGGACTGCTTTCGGCCGCCACTGTCAAGAGGTTTTATCGGCGGCGGGATAGGTCGTGTTCTATACGCGAGCATCTCTCCCATTGACGGAATTTACTGTCAATGAATCTCTCGTTTCTCTATCATAATAAATTGCCGATATGTTACTATGATAGAGCCGTCCCGCGTGCCGGGATAAGTTCGTCGTTTGATATATATGATGGATTAACCGACATTTCCGCCCAATCTAATTCACGACCATTTAATACGGATTGTGATTTAAAAAAAAATTGCAGAAAATCTCCCCCGTGATATGTAAAAAGGTTATTTTTCGAAGTAAACTTACAGAAGCGGAATTAAGAATGTAATAAAATAAAAAATGCATTCAATGTTTTTGAGATTAATTAACATAATTTTAAACAGAGAGATTCGTTTTTTATATTGTAAAAATATATTTTTATTTATAAGAATATGAAAATTAACAAAATTTGTAATCCTTATTAGCAAAACCTGTAAATGTCGCGTATTTGAAGAATATATATCGAATGGTTCACTAAAACTAATTACAAACTACCCTTAAGAAAAAAAAATAAAAAAACAAAAGGAATAAGAAGAAAGAAGAAATAAAGAAAAAGAATAAAGAAAAAAGAATAAAGAAAAAGAATAAAGGAATAAGAATAAAGAAAGAATAAAAAAAAAGAAAAAAGAATAAAGAAAAAGAATAAAGAAAAAGAATAAAGAATAGAACAGAATAAATTTATTTTTGAAAATTCAATCGATCTGTTTTCATTGTTATTTCGTTGTATACAATTGCATGTAACTCAATAACACCTTGTTCAAAAAGAGAAAGAAAGAGAACATTGTTTATGTTGTAAATAAAAAAGAGAGAGTGGAAGGCCACATAAAACAGATAGAAAAAGTTGCTATTAAAGATGCAAATTTGATGTACATATATTTAGATATCGTTATAAGAATGCAAAACATATCGGCTAATTAAGCTCCAGAATTATAAATAGATAACTATATCTTCCCCTTCAGTAACTATTAAGAGAGAGCTTATCCGCTTTAAAAATTTAATTTAAAGTATGAAGTAGAGTTACTTAATTAGTAAGATGTTTTATCTTGTAAATCTAAAAGTTACATAAAAACATGTGATGTATAAAAAATTTTCTTTGGTTTAAAGTTGCGTCTAAATTTGCGAGAGAATACTGTTTTAAAAATGCATGTCTTATATAATCCTAATAAGACATAGTCTTAAAAATTCAAGATTTACATAATCGAGAAAGAATCTCTGTATAAAATTTACATATCAGAATAACATAATGTTATAATACATATTATACGACATAAATATGTGTAAATAAATATAATACAAATTTAAAAACATCATTATATTTAAAAAAATAATATTTTTGGAGTTTAAATAATACTGCTTTTGATATATCATGTTTCTTAATTTTTAAATAGTAGTATTAAGTTATTAATACTAGATGCAAATAATTTAATTAAGTACTTTGCGAGTTATGAGGGTTGAAATAATTTCTTAATTTTACATAAACCATAAAATATCTAGTAAACCATTCATTTTTCGATTATCTTACCTTCATACTTTTATGTACAAAATAATGAAAGGAATCAATTGGTGTAAAGAAAACATACAGTTGTTTTTAAGAAAAAATATGGAATTGTTAATTGCAAATTACATATTTTTTCTTAGAACAACTATGGTTTTCTTTACACCAATGATTCCTCTCATAATTTGTACATAAAAGTATGAAGTAAGAAATCGAAAATGAATGGTTACTAGATATTTTATGTTTATGTAAAATTAAGAAATTATTTCAACCTCATAACTCGCAAATATAAAAAAATGAACATTAAATAGTGTTTGGAAAGCCTTGAATTAAGCTATAAGAATAGAATCAAATGTAGGTGCATTTAAAAAAGTCAATGTGACCTTGACCTGACCTTGACGACGCCATCCAAGGTCAAACTGATAGAATCAGTATATAGATCTTCTTAAACCTAAACTTTTGTTGGAAACACTTTCGTAAAACGTATATTTTCCGAATATTTAGGGTTTCCACATTTGGTAGACCTGTATAATCTAATAAAATAGTCTTAAATTCAAGATTTAATAATCGAGAAAGAATCTGTAAAAATTACATATCAGAATAACATAATGTTATAATACATATTATACGACATAAATATGTGTAAATAAATATAATACAAATTTAAAAACATCATTATATTTAAAAAAATAATATTTTTGGAGTTTAAATAATACTGCTTTTGATATATCATGTTTTCTTAATTTTTAAATAGTAGTATTAAGTTATTAATACTAGATTGCAAATAATTTTAAATGCAAAAAATTAATAATAACATGTAATCAATGATATATAATCAATGATATTTGTTGGAATATTAATATATTCATCGATTAGTATTTATCTCTTACATATCATTAAAACATATTACTATGTTATGCAGTACGTCAATAGTAACACGTGTGCAAATAAGTGATCATTGACGTTTCTATTAATTAATTATTGAACGCATATCAATCGTTCATCAGTATTGACGCATTTATATATCAATTAAATATTATTTGATTTGTTTGATGCTCGTCACGAGTACAACTTTGATAAATAATATAATATAATCGATAATCGATGAAATCGATGAAAGTGCGTTATGTTTCAATTAAATTTCATAACATTAGAGAAATATGTTCGTGATGATAATATCACAGATTACGAAAATTCATGGTTTTGTGCTACAATGCATATTAATGTTAATTAACTTTAAGAATGTGTATTTCTAAGCTATATTAATATAGATGCGTATTTTAATACAGATGAGTATTTCATTTTTGGCATAAAAAGCAACAACAACAAAATTTAAAATGTGCTTTTAAATATTATATGCTTTTATATATTTTTTAAATATGCAAAGTCTCGTAAATATGATATGGAACAGATAGAATTGTAAATTTAAATTAAATAACAGTTACGTCCACGTGTTATCTTTGTAGTCAACCAAAGATATATATATATATATATATATATATATATATATATATATATATATGTGTCTCCATTGGTAGTACGACTACCACGGCAGAATTGATTGCTACAGTTTAACAAGCAGGATTATCCCAAAATGCAAGGTAGCCGAGTGCTTCCCTGATTCACGATGATCTCACAGGACCATTATTTCGGCTTACGGTGACTTGTTCTAAGCGAACCGCAATGGAACCCGTACATGTCCAGGTCGACATCGTTCTTGCGTTATAGGTCACAGTTTGCGTGATATTGAAAACGGCACGTTTCGATGCGCATAAAGTGAGATCAATTTGAAAATCGGGCGTATCAGGAAATTGGTCTTTTGTTTGAACTACTAGTCTGCCGTATTGACGTCAATGGGAATCACCATTAATTCTGAACAATATAAAACTCGACAAATACTTATCAATTTGGAGAGAACTATCCTTTTTATTAATAAATCTAATAAAAATCATTTTTCCATACTCATCTTATGACTTAATTTTATTTTGTACTATATTACTATTTATATAATTATTAAAGAAATTTATTGTTTTAAATATTTGAGAATCTATTTTAAACTTATAAAAATAAGATATATTTTATATGTGTTATATTATAGATGAAAATATTAAATATTAATTAAAATAAAAATATACATAGAACTGTAAATAAAATTTTTTATATAATCGCGATATTTAATTAATGATATAATGAAATAAAACTATTACTTATGATTATTATAAAAAAGCAAAGAAAGAATTGAGAAAGAGAGAAAAAACCGATAATATTGGCTCATTCCTCAAGTGTAATTTCTACGAAATAATTAAAGCGTGCTAACCGACATATATGTATATATATATATATATATATATATATATATATGTCATTGTTATAAAAATTTATTCTATTTGTAGCACCTTTCTATCAGAAACAATGAGTTTATATTCCAACTCGAAAAGCACAAGCGATGCGTGTAGATACGTACTGGTATATCGGATTTTACCGATTTTTGCGATGGAAATGCTTTCAGTGTATACATAAAGTTTGCGCAGTTTGCGCATATTGTTCGATTTTAAACAAAAGGACGTATACGAAACATTCATGCGATATTCGCACAATTTAATATCACGGTGCCAGGTTTAGCAATACTACAGTTCTTCGAATTATTAGAATTATTTACTACTGATACTAAATTTTGAAGATGTCTATCAGTCACTTTAATTTCATATAAAATTTATAATTTCTTAATTAATTTAAAATTTAATTATTTAATGCGTCCTTTACAAGGAGATTTTAAGGAGACTTAAGTCTTACGCCTTAAGTCTCCTTAAAATCTCATTGTAGACGCTGCTTAAGACGTGACTTATCTGAATTTATTTCATTTAAATTAATAAAAATATTTTTTGAATTCATTAATTCAAATAATATATAATACATACAAATTAAAAATTATCGATATAAATAATAAGACATTAAAAAGAATAAAATTTTGTTTACATAGGAGAGTTTAATGCAACATTATATCATCATTAAAGATCTTTGACAGAATTTCCTGTAACGAATATAAAGTTAACGATGTTTATCAGTTTTATCTTTCCAGCATTATTTCATAATGTAGACGAATGATGCGAATAATGAAGTTGTAAAATTTTACGATCCAGAGAAATCGATACGCGTGCGTTAAACACATCGTGAAATGCACCATCATGATACATGTACATTTACTTGCGCAGACATCCTTTTTCTTGTTTCCCACCTGCCTCTTCGTCTCTTTGATTTTTTGTAACACGGCATCAAAAGTTACATCGTTTCATCCGTTTTTCAAACGAGCGAGCTGCTCATAGTACAGTTTTTATCAATTTTGCGGTCGAGTTTAACTTAGCTAGTTTTTCACATTTTAAAGATATTTTCTTCTCTTGTGATGTAAAAATGTTGACTTTGATTTCGATTAATTAATTT